TCTATATCTATATCTATATCTATATCTATATCTATATCTATATCTATCTATCTATCTATCTATCTATCTATCTATCTATCTATCTATCTATCTATCTATCATCTATCTATCATCTATATCTATATCTAAATCTATATCTATATCTATCTATCTATCTATCTATCTATCTATCTATCTATTTATCTATCTATCATCTATCTATCTATCTATCTATCTATCTATTATCTATCTGTCTATCTATCTATCTATCTATCTATCTATCTATCTATCTATCTATCTATCTATCTATAAAAATTTTAAGTGGGGAAATTTGATCATAGGCCTTTAGCAATAGCACGTAGCAGTTTACAGAGTCAGCCTCTTGCCCCCAACAATCTGGGTCCTCATTTTACCCACCTTGGAAGGATGGAAGGCTGAGTCAATGTTGAGCAAATCAGGATCGAACTGCTGGCAGTGAGTTAGCCTGCCATACTGCATTCTAATCTCTGCGCCAGCACAGCTCTTATACATTTTTGTACATTTCTGGACCTTAACAGGGGAATATCTGTCTGGAATACACTTCCAAAGGATAGCCTAGTGTTGACTCTCCTTCCCTCCCTGGTAGCTTTAATTCTCTGCCCTGTTTGCAGAAGCTACAAAGTGCGCTTCAACAGTGTCTCCTCATATTCGGATGCCCAGAAATCCTCTACCAATGGACCTGAAGCCAGGGACAATTTTGAGAGCGCTGGTCCACTGGCCAATGTCAGGTGAGCAGGAGAACTACGAGTGGCTGCAGAAATCCAGCCTCTGGAGCCAACTTGGGGTGGGGGGGTGGGTGGGAAGGAGAACGGGCCCTTTGAGAAGTTCATCCATAATTTTCCCCCTGTGGTTTGTGTTGCATCGGCCCTTTCATGTCTCCTTGTAATTTCTGTAGCAATGTATTATCCGTGGCCAGCTTGCTGGGCCTGTCGCAATTCCACCCGAGCCCCTGTAGCCAGGCCATCTGAGGGTGACCCAAGATGGCCTTCGTGGCTGCTGTAGTAGTCCTGTGACACAAAGCCAGACCATTCTTCGGCCAGTCTTAGCAATCCCTTACTTAGTCCTGTTACCACTTCTCACGATATGGATGTGGGATTGGAGTCTGGGAGGCGTTTGCCAGAAATGCAAAGGAGGAGGGGGGAGGGGGAGGGGGGAGTGGGAAGAAGGAAGAGGAGGAAGAAGAAGAAGAGGAGGAGGAGGAGGAGGAGAGGAGGAGGAGGAAGAAGAAGAAGAGGAGGAGGAGGAGGAGGAGAGGAGGAGGAGGAGAGGAGGAGAAGGAAGAAGAAGAAGAAGAGGAGGAGGAGGAGGAGGAGGAGAGGAGGAGGAAGAAGAAGAAGAGGAGGAGGAGAGGAGGAGAAGGAAGAAGAAGAGGAGGAGGAGGAGGAGGAGGAGAGGAGGAGGGGAAGAAGAAGAGGAGGAGGAGAAGAAGAAGAGGAGGAGGAGGAGGAGGGGAAGGAGAATGATGAGGAGAAGCAGTAGCAGTCCTGGGTTGGAAAAAACATGTCCTTTAGAGGCTTCCTAATGGCAATTTTGGTTCAAGGGCAGACTTACAAGCATTATATTAGCCAACAGTCACAGTCAAAAATTGCCCAAACTTCCTGCTTGATTGATTCCTGTTAGTCCTACAAGAAGTATCGATGCTGAATGCTGTCTGAGCTGGGACGTTTATCAACAATGTACTGCTCATTTTGTTCTGAACGATGTTTAGAGAGAGGTGATGAGTCTGGCCTAATGAAGTGATAAACAGGTGGGGAAGTTGAGCTGGGGAAGGAGGAGGAGGAGGAAGAGGAGACGACATAGATAACATGACCTTGGCTGTAGAAGCCAACTGCATCCTTCCTGCCTCCATGTTGGCTCTGCTTAGACGCCAGAAGCTTGTGGTCACTCGTGCCTTGGCTTACTTCCTTGCAGGTTCTCTGTCTTTGGGCTGGGCTCACGAGCTTACCCTCACTTCTGCGCCTTTGCCCGTGCTGTGGACACCCTCCTGCAAGAGCTGGGAGGGGAACGCATCCTGAGGATGGGCGAGGGGGATGAACTGTGTGGTCAGGAGGAATCCTTCAGAACGTGGGCCAAGAAAGTCTTCAAGGTAACCTACATTTAACAGCTGTTCCTTGTTCGGGTGTCTAGGAGAGGAGGTGATTTAGAAGAGGGTCCATCAGCCTCTACACCACAATGATCGGGGCAGATTTTCACCCCCAGCCCCCATAAAACCCTAACTTCCTGCTCTCTGCAGGAACCCAAATGAAAGAACTCCCTACGGTTGAGACTCTAACCTTTGCTCGAAGGCTGCGTTAATTGAAACCAGCTTCTCTCCGCATAATCGGTTCTCTTATCAAGCTGCGAGGGAGTTTTTATTGAGTCTGAATCATCCTTTGAATCATTCATTATTTCATGTCCTGAACCCTGGAAAGATAACGGAGAGGTCTTGATCTTCTATGTAACCTCCTTTCAGCTCTTTGAAGAAAGAGTGAATTATTTCCCATAGTCTTCTAGCTTCAAGCTTAACTCTTTCTGATTCCTGATAATAGAATAACGAGCGAGCAAGAACCCTAGCGTAAGAACAACTCGTCAAATCCCAGTCTGCTTAATGCAATTCAATTCATGCATTTGCTCAGACAGCGGAGATGGGCAGTGTATTATTAACCTGATGAATAAATAAATCTGAGACTACTAATTGCCTAGCTAATTGCCTAACTCTTCCCTGCACTCATTTAGGGAAGGTGTCCTGTGTCCCTGGCCCTTTGTTTCCATTGTTGAACTACACTTGTCGCAGAAGGATTGGCAAAAACTGGAGGTGGAGTCAAAAGAAGAACTAGCCTAGAATCCCTACATAGCCACAAGTGAACTAAATCCAGCCTGTCTTGAATTCCCATGGATGCTTATCTAACCCCAAGCAGGTGTTACCCAATAGCTGAGAATTTTTTTTTTTTTGCATGGACAAGATTAGCAATAAATTAATTGGCTTAATTAATAAGTTTATTTGGACTTTCAGGTTTGGATCTGGTCTTTCACCCCTGATAGCTCTTGTCATTAGTCTGCTGTAAGAATTCCGGCAATCACCCTAATTAAATCATAAGCCTTGAGCCAAACTTCAAAAAACTTCAAAGGATTTATTTGGAGTGACATGCCGGCATGACCTGTATGAAGCCAACTCTGAGACACATAATTTACAATCATTTATGACCCTGTCTTCCCAAATCCCCCTGGGTGTATCATAATTCAGCTTCTCCAATGAAACACATTCATGGACTGGCTATCATTCACTTTCTCCAATAAAGGATTTTTGTGGGCAGAATACCTGGTCGCCTAAGTTACAATCTTTGCAAGATAAGCTTGGAATGTGCTTCTGATTTTATTTGCCCTATGCTCCTTCAGGTCTTTCTCTCCTCCCTATCATGGCAACTTGGAAACATGGGTAGGAATGTTTTATAAGCTGACCCCAGAATGATAACCTTCATCGGGAATCTATTTTCCTGAAATTTAAGTCCATCTCTTGTTAATGAAAAAAAAAATCCAACCCAACCAAACAGATTGACAGGGAAATCCCTTTGAAAGTGACAATCAAGAGCTACAGGTAGTTTTCAACATATGATTGGTTGCTTAGCGATGACGCATCTCCTCAGGGTTACTTACAACCCACTTGTAAGTTACTTACAACTCACCTGACCATGACTTATGATGTATTTGCCAAAAACTGGTGCATACTTCTGCTTTTTGGCAAAAACACCTACAGCAAACAATGGGCTCACAGAACAATTGCAATGTTTGCCTTACAACTGCAATGGCCACCACAAAACAGTCATAAAATTGGATTGGGTCTTGTGATGAACCTCTTTATAACCATCATGACTAATGGTCAAGCTCCATTACAGTCATTGGTTGAGGACTACCTTAGTCTTCAACTCTGCTTGCGCTGTGTCGCTCCCTCCCCAAGTCTCACCTCCCCACCCTGCTTGAGAGGGGAGGGATATCCTGGTAAGATACCCCTCCCCTTTTCCTGGCCTTTCCTTGAGTGCTTGGTGTGTCCTGCAGGCAGCATGTGATGTGTTCTGCGTGGGAGATGACGTCAACATCGAAAAAGCCAACAACTCCCTCATCAGCAACGACCGTAGTTGGAAGAGAAGCAAGTTCCGTCTGACTTATGTGGCTGAGGCCCCAGAGCTGACCCAAGGTACCTTTCTGGGCAACTTCTCAAAGATGCCGTCTTCCAGATGTCTAGGAAAGATTCTCCGTCATCCATTATTTGTCCAAAAGATGCTTTTTTTTCAGAAGGCAACTGGACTTTCTGGTTTTTCCTTGAAGATGTTTTGCTTCTCATCCAAGAAGCTTCTTCAGCTCTGACTGGGAGGTGGTGGGGATGGAAGGATAGCTATTGACCACCAATGACCATCATCCACAATCCAGTCATCTATCTGTAGTCTACAATACAGTCCATTCAACAGTCCAAGAAGGCTCCACACCCATTTTCATGACTCAGGTGACCCTGAGGACACAGATAAACCTCCAAGTGACCTCAACAACCTTCTAAAAGGATGCAAATGACCAGCAGTCTGCAAAGAGTACAAATACTTCCCTTTACCACCATTTTTAGTCAGAGGTGCAAAAGCTTCTTGGATGAGAAGCAAAACGTCTTCAAAGAAAAAAACCCAGAAAGTCCAGTTGCCTTTGTCTTCCAGATGGCATCCCTCTGAGTCTGTTGTAGCATTCCCACAGAATGGCATTTCCACAGGACAGAAAGAACATGTGAGGGTCTGTTCTTCACTTATTACCTACAGTGGCCAGCAAGCTTGTCACATTTCCATTGAGTCCCGTTGGAGGATATTGTGAGGAAACCTCTTTGTGTGGTTTCCAGGTTAGATACTGTGGACAATCGAGAAAGGGGGAGTGATAGAAGGGTGTGAAACAGAAAACAACAACCATTAGCAACAACCCCAAGCATCAACTCAGCCCCCAAGCCGCGAGATCTTTGAAAGACATTTCTACAGAAAAGATCTAAAAAACGTCCTTTTCCCAAGGAAGGAGACTGGGGAATGTTTATGTTTATGAGACAGTTTATGTCTGGGATGTGAGTGGTCTGTAAATATTTTCACAGCCCTCTTTTTGGATTGTGCAGTATACAGATCCTCGATGGAAGGCAGGTTGGTAGCCATTGTTTTTTCTGCAGTCCTAATTCCTCTCTGGCATCTGTGTCTGTCCTGTTGGGTTGCGGAACCGAACCAGACAGTTATAGAGGTTCAGATGACAGACTCAATCATTCCTCTGTAGAACTGGATCAGCAGCTCCTTGGGCAGTTTGAGCTTTTTGAGTTGGCACAGAAAGAACATTCTTGTTGTGCTTTTTGATTCCTCTTTCCTTCCCAGGTTTATACAGCATCCACAAAAAACGAGTTTACGCCGCTCGGCTGCTGTCCCGTCAGAATCTCCAAAGCCCCAAATCCAGGTAGGAATGGTAGGAAATGATCTACTCCAAAAAGAACATATAAAGAGCTTTGCAAGGACACCTACTCCGTGGGTTCTTTCCCCGCCCCCAAAAAAGTGGTAAATTGGAGCCTCTCCAATGGGACACAAAACCATATCTTGTGTCATTATTATTTCCACAAAATGGATCTTCAGTGATGTTATTCCCTCTGAATAGGAAGATAATGTTTAGCTATTATTAGACATGGGTCAAGCAAAAGATTGATTGTTACAGACCAGAGATAATAAATAAATTATATATATATATCAGGCTTCTGTATAGTGTTCATCTGTGTATATAGAAGCCTCATCACAAAATCTCTAGAACCGTAAAGCCTACAATCTTGAAATTTGGCACCTATGTTCCTCTTGGCTTCTAGGCGCTCACTAAGAAAGGATTTTTTGAAGTGACCATCAGAGCTATTAGTATTTCCTATATTATTGTTATTAACACGCTCTGATGCTAAGGAGTTCAACTCCCCCTCCCCACCTGAAAAAATATATGTTCCAAATGCAAAACACAAGCAGAGGAGAGGAGTTTCAGTTTCAGTTTTAGTTTTACAGTACCAAGCAGCTTTAGTACAGAACAGTTGAGCTAAGCCACGCCCAGGCTCCTTGCTGTCTCCTTCTTGCTCACACTGCAAATAACTGTTTCAGTTTCCAAACAGTCCTTAACTCTCTCACACACTGACTGGACGCTAGCCAGATGAATAACGATGGATGCTGGGAGGCAGAGACAGAATTTTCCCCCCTTATTTTCCTCCCCAAAAACTAAGCCCGACCACATAGTCTCGTAGCGAAGCACAGGGATAGAGCTAGTATATTCATAAAGGAGAACATGATAACTCCTTAAACTCTGCCATAGGCGGTGTGTAAACACAGAAATGTTTATGTGTGTGTGGTGGAATGCAGTCTGGATTCCCAAGAGGGAGGAGCTGCATTCCAGAAGACCAAGAAGACAGCAAACTCAGATCGTTTGGTTGGGAGGAAGAGAGTTAAGAAAACTCCGCCTTAGCAATTCTCGGAGTGTATCTTCAATAATAGAAGTAGTTGCTTTAATTTCTCAAGATTTCTGTCCATAGGTGAGGGACCATAAAGGGAACTGTTTTGAGTGGACTAGATGACCTACAAGGTCCCTTCCAACTCTGTTATTCTGTGTGCTTTTCAGTGTGACTTTCTTGGTTTTGAAGACTGACAGTGTGTTCTTGAACCTTCCCTTCTTTCTAGCCGCTCCACCATTTTCTTGCGGCTTCACACAAACGGCCAGCAGGGGTTGCGTTACCTGCCCGGGGACCACCTGGGAGTCTTTCCGGGAAACCATGAAGATTTGGTCAACACCTTGATTGAAAGGCTGGAGGATGCCCCGCCCACCAACCAGCTAGTAAAACTCGAAATTCTAGAAGAGAGAACTACAGCTTTAGGTGGGAAGCCCTTGTGTCGTTCTTTTTGTCTTTGTTTAAGAAGTTTTTTTTAAAAAAGAACATAACTAAAGAATACTTTAAAAAAAAAAAGAATAAAAGCAGTTGAAAAATAAAGAACAAACCATCCGGAAGATTTGGCCTCAGGTTTTGCTAACATTAAAATTAATTTTGTAACATCTCCCGTTCCAAAAGGAGAAATTTAAGGATGGTAGTAATAATATTGCCCAATTATTATCAGAATGGGAGTTTGTCATAGTAGTTGCTTATTTCATATGCAGTCCAAATAAAAGATCAGTTATGCCTCATTGTTTTAAATTAAAAAAACATACTTAACTATTTTTTAAAAAATAAGGATATAAATTCTGCACCAAGGAAAATGATTTGTTTCCCCATTAATTTTCTCTTTGTAAATCTTCTTTGATGTGGGTTTATTTGTTATGAATCCATGTTTTTTCTTATTTTTCCCCCCCCCATCGCTTTAAGTGGAAACATAGCCAGTCTCTTATTACTTACGGCTCAAATATTTTCCATTTACTTTCATGATATTTCCAAACTTTCTTCACAAAAAAATCTGCTAGAGTGGAGATGCATAACAATATCATCAGCCAACATTTTTATATCCCCTTATACTTTGAAAATGAAACCTTAGAACTGGTCGTCCTGAGTCATAGATCTGACAAGGAACTTTGCTCCCAACTAATTCAACCCTTAATATCGTAGATAGACTCACCTGGCCATTCAAGCCAAATTGGAATTTTTTCCTAAAAGTTCACATATACAACAGCTAAAATCAACACCCAAGTCATAAATATTTTATTATGTTGAGATCCAATGACCAAAGTAGGCCTCTTATTTAATTGTTGAGATGTTCTGGTATTCTCAATTTATTTCTGGTTGTTTTAACTGTGATGATTTGGTCTTGGATTGTCATAACAGATTAATTTGCTCGTTTGTCTGATAGCCATAGCAATAGCACTTAAACTTATATACCGCTTTACCATGCTTTCCAGCCCTCTCTAAGCGGTTTACAGAGTCAGCCTCTTGGCCCCCAACAATCTGGGTCTCCTCCTTTTACCCACCTCGAAAGAACGGAAGGCTGAGTCAACCTTGAGCCTGGTGAGATTTGAACTGCCAAATTGCAGGCAGTCAGCAGAAGTAGCCTGCAGTACTGCACTCTAGTCACTGTGCCACCATGGCTCATGCACAAGAGACATGCACCTAGTCTAGAGGAAATTCTAAAAGGCAGACAACACCCCTCTCTTTTAATAGGAGACCCCTGTTCCTTTCACTCTCTCTACAGCATCAGTGATTCCCAACTGGACAGGCCAGAATTGGTCCAGTAGCAACAGATATCTGTAGCTCAGGGTTGAACTGCAAGGATCTTGGTAGTCTCTGCACTTGGTTGCATTCCTGCAGATGTTATTTTTACCACACTAGGTAACATCCTCCGTGCATACAGGGCTCTAAGGCACGCGAGGTCTCCAAAGCGGGACCTAACGTGAACTTGTGACATGGGGTTTGAATCTTCAGGTACCATCAGCAACTGGACCGAAGAGAACCGCATCTCTCCTTGTACCATATTCCAAGCATTCAAATATTACCTGGACATCACTACCCCTCCCACACCCATTCTGCTGCAGCAGTTTGCCCTACTGGCCACCGACGAGAAGGAGAAGAAGCGCCTACAAGTTCTTAGCATGGTAAGACAGCGGTGAAGATGGACGGTGGGGAACTTGGGATTCAAACGGTTCAGACCGGTTCGAGTGAACCGGATATTAAATCTACATCTGGTTCGTCAAACCGGTAGTTCGGAAACAGGCCTATTTTCGGCTTCTGGAGGGGCTCCGGACCCTGGGGAAGGCGAAAAATGACCCTCCCGGAAGTTCCAGTAGGCCACACCCACCATGGCTATGCCCACCCAGCAACCAGGCAGCAAACCGGTTGCTGGGAGTTCTGAATCCCACCCCTGGTTAGCTCCCTCTCTTCCACAATGTCCAGAGCATCTGGGTGATAATTTAGTATAAGGGAATATCCAAACTTGTCCACTCAGACTCGTGGACTTCAACTCCCAGAATTCCCTAGCCAGCATTCTGAGAGTTGAAGTCTTATGAGTCTTACAGTGGCCAAGTTTGGGACGTTCCTGGTTTAGCATGTCTGCGCCCACGTTTCCTGCATCGGCTACATTCAGACATGTGGACTTCAGGGCTGGCTGGAGAATTCTGGGAGCCTACGTCCACACGCACCTGTAAGTCGGCAAGATTGAGAAACTCCGTTCTCGAACTCTGCTCTAGATTTAATACACTGTTGAAAAATGGGGCCACGAGGAAGGAACTGGAGAAAGTTATATAATTTTAATGGGGGTTTGTTTGTCTTTTACTTGTTTCATTAAATAAGATGGTGTCTTTTTTAAGGATATAATTTAGATGTCTGTCTTTTTATTAATTTAATTTGGTTCTTCTTTGTTTTATTTGTTGGTTTTGTTCACCGGGGGAGATGATCTTCTGACTCTTTTTCTTTATTTTATTTTGAATAATTTTCTTGGGGAATACAGGTAGTCCTCGAGTTACGACCCCAATTGAGCCCAAAATTTATGTTGCTAAGTGAAACATTTGTTCAGTGAGTTTTGCCCCATTTTACAGCTTTTCTTGCCACCATTGTTAAGTGAAGAATTATATTTGTTAATAACACAGTTTTTAAGTGAATCATTGCATTTGGTCAGTTAGTGACATGGTTGTTAAATGAATCTGGATTCTCCATGGACTTTGCTTGTCAGAGGGTCACAAAAGGGTCACATGTAACCATGGGAGATGCTACATGGTCACAAGTGTGAAAAACGATCATAAGTCACTTTTTTCAGTCACTAAACGAATGTTGTAAATCAAGCACTATCTTAGTTCTTTCTGTTCACCTATTTTCTATATAATAACTTAGATTTTTAAAATAATAATATGATCACATAGTTATAATTTTTTTTCATGCAAAACTACTCACTAATAACTACAGTATTTTTAGAAGCAATTCAGAAGTGCCCTTTGTAATTTTAAGCCTTATTATTATTAATTATGCATAATTAGGCCATCTTGTCTGACCTGATTTAAGCTGCCACTTTGCAAAAGTGTCTTCCACCTCATCCATCATGCCTCCTGGGATAATTTGCCTTCACCCAATTTGGAGAGCGGGAGGAATCCATTTTCTAAGTTTACAGTGACGTCTTGATTGAATGGACTAATTATGAGAAGGGAGGAATGCCCATAAATTAGAAAAGAGCATGGCTAATTATTTAGAATAGAATAGAATAGAATAGAATAGAATAGAATAGAATAGAATAGAATAGAAGAATAGAATAGAATAGAATAGAATAGAATAGAATAGAATAGAATAGAATAGAAATTCTTTATTGGCCAAATGTGATTGGACACACAAGGAATTTGTCTCTGGGGCATAAGCTCTCAGGGTACATACAAACAACAAAGTGATAGGTCGTAGATATTAATCATGGCTGGGTATGTATGTCATCCGTGTGATGACATAATCACGCAAAGGATATCATTCGCAAAACAGAACCATTATGAAAATGCATGGAGTCGTGTAAAATATTTCCGTGGACTTGAGTGACACGTGTTTTGACACAGTTATGAAATCTGCATGCTTTGGGTCAAAAGTCACAGTGCAAATCTCAGCAGAAATGTTTACTGTATCCAGGTGTAATAAATTGTGGCTTCACTTCCATCAAACTCCAAACTAAACCAGTGTCTGCCTATTTTGTCATTAAGAATTTTGTGCAAACCCAGAAACAGATTATAGGCCAGGGTATTGTACAAAACTGCTGGAAAATATATAGTGTGGGGTTCAAAATGGTACATGTGAATGGAATGGAATGGAATGGAATGGAATGGAATGGAATGGAATAGAATAGAATAGAATAGAATAGAATAGAATAGAATAGAATAGA